CCCCGCCCCCAGCCCGGCTTCCAGCCTGCCTGGCACCAGGGAGGGGGCTGACCTTCTGGAAGGTGACTGACCTGCTCTGGGGGGGAGGGGGCCCCAGGTCCATGAGACGCAGCCATGGGGTGAGCACTCAGAGAGGACCCAGGAGCCTCGTGGTGTCTTCGGCTCATTCACACCTCTGCCAGCTGCAGCCGCCCTGCCTCATCCCGCCTCTCCCACTGCCGCCTGGCCTGGCAGCTTCAATTACTTTCACCTCATCTCCTCCCCAGGCCCTGCCTCCCCAACCCGGCCCTCCCCTTCACCCTTGCCGCCCAGTACCCAGTACGGTGCTCTGAGACAGGGTGAGGCGTGGGGCTTGTTGTGCTTTTTTCCCTTGTTCCCAGCAAGTTATTAGAACAAAAAACACACGCACTCACAACCACAGAGTGCAGCAGAGGGAGCACGGGAGAGGGAGGGGGTCGCTCCCCTGCCAGGGCTGGGCCTCCCGAGTGGGGTGGACTCCTGGCAGGTGGCTGGGTGCAGCAGGGCGCTGCGGGGTGCTGGAGAAGGTGAGGGGCAAGGGGGGGTGCCGCCCACAGAGCACTCCCCCAGCATCTCAGACTTCCCAGAGTGGTGTGGCCTGGGGGGGTGCTGGGCCCTGGAGCTGTCCTCCCCTGGAGTTGGAGACCCCCAACCAGCCTAGATGACGGGGTGTCCTTGTAGGAGAATGTGACTGACGGTGCCAGAAAGCTCTAGTCTAGTGAACAGCCGCGTGAAGAAAGACGGGCTTAGCCAAGAGGGCGGGTGTCACCCACGTCCCTCCAATCCCCCTTCTCAGAGGCCATGTCACTGGTTAGTCTCCAGCAGTGGCCATGGAGGTGGGCAGACGGAAGGCATTTTCCCCTGGGGAAGAAAGTAAGAGGTCTGCAGAGGGCCTGGCCGGAGGTAGGATCTCAGCGAGTGTGCACCCAGTGGAAGCCCGCGTGCATTCTGCCACAAAGAGCTGCTTTCCTGGGAGGCCGTAATGGTGGTGACCCCAAAGGAAACGTGGCGGTTGACATTTAAAAAAAGGGTCAAGACTCCAGAGTCGGACACGCCTGGGTTCAAGCCCCAGCTCTGCCAGAGTCTTGCCACGTACGACCTTAGGCAAGTCACACAGTATGTCTGGTCAGTTTCATCATCTCTGAAGTGGGGACAGTGCCCACCCACCCCTGAATTTAATGGGCATTAGTAATAGTAGTGCGATAATATACGCCATGCGCTTCCTAGAAGTGAGTCATTGTCCTAAACACTCTGTGTTGTATACACCCAAAGACACAGAAACACACACGCGTCTATGTCCCTTGATTCCTTCCAACTACCCCTTGAGGTAGGTGTGTTACTATCCTCACTTTGGGGGGAAGTGGGGACCACCTTTGGCCCATGCAAATCTCCTAAGAGACTCAGCAGCTCTCTGGGCCAGCCTCATGCAGTCAGGTCCCCAGACACGCTCTGCTGACTTCCTCCGGGCACAGACCGAGGGCCAAGGCGCTGGCTGGGCCACTGGCTCCAGGAAGGCCCAGTCACCCATGATGCCCAAATGCTCACTTCCACCCAGGGTGGGCTCTGGGCTTTGGCTGCCCTGGCCTGGGCTGGGTGCCCAGAACAGGCAGCCCTGGCTGGACGGCTTTCTCTGGCTCTGGCCATGGGGACAGGAGGCGGCAGCAGCCCAGCTGGGCCCTGGCCGTAATGAGGCCTCATTAGTGGGATCCAGCTGCTCCAGCCCCACTTAGGGAGACCAACTCCTCCAGCCCCCGGCGCTGACTTTTCTTAATAAGGGTGGGCACACTTCCAGAGGGGCGCGAGTCTAGGGGCCTCTCTGTGCCCTGTGGCTCGGAGGGAAGGTCCTGCTGAGCTAGGACAGAGAAGTGCTGGGGGTAAGGGGCTGCTGTAGGGAAGCAATGTGATGAGGGAGGGCAGGGTGCGGGGCTGAGGCGGTGGGCTGCAGGGAGGGTGCGGAGGGGAAGGAGACCAAGGGAGGGCGGCCAGGGCCTTCGGTCCAGCGCAAAAGCCTGAGGGAGATCCGGCCTTTCCTCTGGATGTAGATGTTGTCTATTTCACTGGGGTGGGGATGGCCACACATTTGGGGTCATCTAGGAACACCGAGTTGATCCTCTGGGTCACTGGCTAAATGGTCTGGGTTGTCCTGGCCCGAACACCTCCTCCATGCTAGGCCTTACATAAAGAGAGTGCCCACAGTGTGCCAGTCCCTGAGCTAGAATACCTACTGTGTGTCACCTCCTGTGTCAGGAAACACCCCCTGAGGTACCCCGGGACCTATAGTCACAAATGCCCACTATGTACCAAGTCTGATGAGGGAGCTCCCACTCAACGCTAGGCTCCTAACTAGGAGAGCACTGCTGTGCTCAGCCCCACTCTGGGAAGCCCCTGGTCCTGCCATGTTGGCCATGGGTGCCAAATTCTGAGCCGGGTGAGGATGACTGGCATTTGACAATCCCGCTGTGTGCCCAGCTCTGAGCAGGGCGAGTACCCATGGCTGCCTGGCTTGCGTCTGCTGAGGCCCCGCTGTGACAGGCTCTAGGTAAGTGGGTCCTAGTCAGCACTGCCACATGCTGGGACCAGCGCTAGGAGGGTGCCGAGTGGGTGGCGGGCTCTCTACCAAGGGAGTGCCCACTGTGCCAGGCTTTTGTTTAGTGTGTGCCCGGTGTGTGCCAAACCTATACCAGTTGAGCTCTTGCTGCATGCCAGGACCTGGGCTGGGTGAGCACCCACTGTGTGCCAGATTCTGTGCAGGTGGTGCAGGCAGCAAGCATCTTGTCAAGGCATAGCAGGATGAGGGTGCGGCAGCCCCAGGCAGCCTCTGGGGCTCGAACAGCTTTCTGGAAGGACGGAGATGCTTACGCACTCAGGAGCCTAGCCTGGGTGACTCTGCTTTTGTTTATTATGAGGCTCCCCAGTGTAGAAGCAACCAGCCTGCTCAGAGACAAGGGGCTACTCCGACAAGGCGCATCAGGGCATCTACTGCCCAAGATGCTGAGTGAGGGGGAGCAGGCACAGGGGAGGGGTATACCAGCTTGTCAGTTTGGTTTGAGGCCATGCAATTAAAGCTGCCCAGTGAGGCTCTCTTGCTTCCTGTCCTGGGTTCCACCTTCCAGATGCCTGAAGCTCCAGGCAGTCCAGCCCCAGTGTACACACTAGGTCTCCCTGAGAGGCCCACCCCACCCACTCCCATGCCCCCAGGCAGCCCAGCTGCTCCCAGGCTTGAAGGCACCCTGGCCAGCTGGGCTATTGCAAGGCCCTGTCCTGGAGGTCGCTGAGGCATGAGGGAGGCAGCTGAGCTGGCCCGGCAGAGACCATCTGGGCCACGGGTGGGGGAGGGCACATGGGGCAGGCCTGCCCGCCTGGGCACGCGCAGTAAGTGGCTCGCTCCTCCACAGAGCGCCCGCCACATGAAGGGTCTCGCAGAGGCCCCCAGGACATCATGCAGCGTCTGTTCACACTAAAGAGACCCAAGGGGCCCATGTCCTTACACCCACACCTAAGGTCAACAGGGATGGCCGCCGGGAGGCACCCACTGCTCACTGCCCAATACCTGGGTGACAGAAGCCACACGTGACAAAGTTCTCGTGCCCTGGCTTGCATGCATGGCCCTCAGCATCCTCTCTGCCCCACCTCAGCTGCAGAGACTGGGTCTAGAGGGCCACCCTTAGCCGTTGGCCCTGAGGAGATGAGGCAACAAGAGCCATTTTGCCGCTGAGGTTGGGGGGAGGAGTGCAGTCTGCAGCCTAGAGGCAAGCCCTGAGAGGAGGGGGCCCGAGAATAGAGTAGCCCAAAGTCCTCAGCAGAAACTGAAGAAACAGGCAGGAATAGAATCTCCAGCCACCACTGGGGGTACCCAGGGGACAGATGCTATAAGCCTCAAACGCTGCCGCAGTCAGAGCTGGAGGGCAGAGGGCGAGGAAGCGGGCCCTGCTATCTTTAGGCACATCCTGGGCCTGGGAACAGGCGTCCCAAGGCAGCGCTCCCTTCCCTTCCGAGATGGCTGGCAGCGGTAGGCGCAGGGCCGGGAGCTCTGGACCCTGTGATTCATCCTCGGGCACTGCCCACGTGGGGCCCTTGGCTCCTCAGCCCGCCCACCGGCCCTTCAGCGTCACTCCAGAGAAAGAAGAGCAGCCACGGCCACATGGGGCTTCTCAGGCTCAGAGGGGGTCAGGATCTCCAAGAAGAAGGGGGTGGAGTCCCCCCCCCATGTCAAGACACTTCTGGGAGGGGTGAGGCCAGCGGAGGAGCAAGAGAGGGCCCCCCCCCCCATTCTCGCAAGTGCTCCTTCCAGCTTACCCCTGAGGTAAGACCCCGAAGGAAGAGAAAGACCACTGCCCTGCGAGGGGCCTAGCACCTTCCCCTGGTTCCTCGGAGCCTTCACCTGGGCCCTGTTCTTGCCCTTGGCTTCTCACTACACCTCACCCTCACCTCTCCGGTGCTGAGACCGAGGGCAAGGCAGGGTCTAGAGCCTGGGAAAGGGGACAGGGAGGCCTGCAGACAGGCGTCAGGAGAGGACACACAATGGAGTGTTCTTTGATACTTTTCACGGCGAGGAGCCAGAAGTACAGAAACACCAGTCGGGGTCTGAGGACTCCGTGACCAGAGTACTATGTGCCACGATGGTTGGGGGACTCATGCCAGCTCCGCCGTGCTGTGTCTCCCCAGCAGGACAAGTCGGGGCCTCCTCCCCAGGGTATCTGCTGTGACGGGATGGGAAGCTGCTGCCCGCCTCCTGGCGTGCCTCTGCAGGCTCTGGGCAGAACCTGGCCCATTGTGGGCTTGGCAGCACCATGGAACCTGTGGGATGAGGGGCTGCTGCTGGAACCAGGGCCACTCTGGCACTCAGGAGCTCTGGTGGTGCCAGACTTGGGCCTCCATGGAGCCTCCTGGACCCGCCTGCTGTGGCGAGTCCCCGGCAGGGGCCCCAGAGGGGACAGAGCTCGGGATCCCCCTTCTTCCTGTAGTCTGGTCCCCGTACTTACCAGCATCCCTTTGGCTCCTTTTCCTACCATGGCGGCAGTGGGGTGGGGGCTCTGGATCTGGGACCACTCACAGGTTTTGCTTCCAGCACTTTTCAGACCACAGACTTCAAGAGCTAGGGAGAGAACAGAGGGCAAGCTGAGGCCCTGTGCCCAGAGGCAGGGGCAGGACTCGTGTGGCCCTCAGGGCGTCCAGACCACCAGCTGGCAAGTCCCCCCTTCTCTCCCACCCTGCTGGCCCTGACTCAGCCATTTTTCCATCCTGCCCCTGGCTGGATGCACCTCCTTCCATCCAGCTGCTCCCTCACTTTTCTTCCAACCCTTCCCCTGGATCCCTTGGTCTCCAAGCTTCCTGTCCCAATGGGCAAAGGTCTATTTTTGACTCTCCAGATGCCCAACTCTATAAAAGATTAAAAAATGAACACAAAACCGGGACAGGGTCCAATTCCTTCATCATCTTGTGTGAATGGCTTCAACCTTTCCCCCCAAAGAGGAATCAACTTGGATCAGCACGTGCTCCCCAAACTCGCCCCAGCCGGGAGGCCTGGCTGGTCCTTCCCCAGCTCAGGGTCCAGGGCAGCTGGCTCGTTATGATAGTAACCTAGGCCATGAGCTCTGGGCACGCCAAACATACCATGTGCGGGCACGCCCCCTGCTCTCGGCCGGGCTGCCCCCCCCCACTTCACTTCTCCTCCCCCACCCCTTCACCATCAAAATCTACAAATCCTGTTAAATGCCACCTCTTCCCTGTAGTCTTTCCTGATGCAGAGAACACAGTGCTTCCTCCTTTCTGTTCTGTGAGGGCTTCTCCTAGCGCCCTATCAGCTCCTATTAGATGTATTTGCTTAGCGCCTGCCAGCCACAGCCAGTGAGCTGCCCGAGGGCTTAGGTCTGTGCTTCTTTCACTCCTCTGTGTCCAGCACCAGCACGGTGCTCCCCTTGTGAGGCGTGGGCAAGACTGAAGTCCTAAAAGCGGGGTTTAGTCCAGCTCAAGATTTATCTGAGCTCATCTGAAGGCAAGGGGGGAGGAGGGGGAGGTGGGGGAGGGGAGGGGGCGGGGCTGGCGAGCTAGAAGGGGCAGCAGACAAATGGGAAGCATGGCCCACGGACAGGCAGGTGTGACCCAGAGGAAGGGGTAGGTTTGAGAGGCTGCAGAAGAGGAATCAGCCTTCAGGAAACACCAAAGAAAATCTCTCAGGAGGAAAAGCCTGCGTCCAAGGCATGAGGACCTCCCCTCCATGGCAGGAGGGGTTTGACCCTCCATGGGGGTCTTCCCTACCTCCCAGAGAACAGACTATTCCAAAAGCTGCTCTATCAATGTTACTGTCTCACCCACGGTCACCTGGTCAAGGTTCTTTCTTACCCACAGGCCCAGGAAGTCACTGAAGACCAGAGAGAGATGAGGAAGCTCTTTGCCTATGCAAATCAACTCTTGGCTTCTGCAGGCAGGCCAGTGCCCAGCACTACAGGCCTCCTGCGGACCCTTTTCCCCAGGGCCCGGACAGGTTGGGGTGGGGGTGGGGGGACTTGGAGCCATTTTCCTTTATTGATCACTCAGGATGGACTCTCAAGTATCCCCCTAAAGAGGGCTCTGCTTTGGTCTTCTGGAGCAGTCAGGAGAAAAGGAGTATACTCCCTTCCAAGGAGATTAGATCCTGGTCCTCCTCATTCACTGAACCCCTCTTTCCAAGAGATCTGAGCGCCCACAGCTGTCTTTCTTCAATCAGTGAATAATAATGACAGTGATGATGTCAATAACTGCAGGTGGCCATTATTAAAAGTCACCAGATAAGTTGGCAATTATTTCATCCTCTGGTCAGATGAATAAATTGAGGAAACTGTCCTTGACTTACCCTGTTTATCCAATGCAAATTCAGTTCTTGCCCCCAAGGAGTTTACAGGGAGTGAGGGAGAGGTGGGAGGTGGGGGGGAAGACTGCTCAGTGGAAGCTTCCAGGGCTGGTATGAATCTTCCCCCTCTTGCCTTTGCCATTTCTGTTAAGTGGCCCCACCCATCCATTCAAAAAGTAGCAACTGAATGCCCCATGAGGTGCCAGGCAGCCTTCTGGTATTGAGGCTTCACATTTCCCAGGTACCAGACAGGACTTTAATTCATATCCAGGCACCATTGATAAGCAACGGGTCAGTCAGGTAACATGTGAGGAAGAGTTGGAGCTCTGGGGGGATGGGGGAAGCACTGGAATTCTCTCTACTGCTCACGAGGTATGTGACTTCATGCAAGTTACTTAAGCGTTTTGAGTTTCAGTTTTCTCAATATGGAAATGCAGGTCATCACACTTCCTTTGGAAATTCTGAAGTTCCTGTTTCATTTTTTACTCTGCTACAAGTTGTCCATATTTTCCTCCCCTTAAATCCATTAATCTTTCCAAAGCCCTAAAAACCCTGATTCCCTCCAAAGGCTATCCATAGCCAGCAGGATAAGGCCTACATTGCTTAGTAGACTTTTAAGGCTGGCCACGACTTGATATACTTATTCCACAAATATTTACTGCAGGTTTTGCTCTGGTCCAGACCTGTGTGAGACACTAAGAACTCATGGGAATCAACCCCCCCTTCTTCCCCCAACCCCCAATTTACAGGCTGGGGAAGAACTTGAAACTGAGACTCCAGTGATATGGCTAATGACTGAGATAAAGGGGTGTGAAGGAGGAACATCCTTTTACGAGAATCTTTAGCCCTGGCCCTGGTCATGTCCCAGAGTAGAAAGGGTATCTCTGAGTCTCTGAGGAAGTGATGCTTCAGGGCCAGAGGGAGCTAATTGGGTAATGTAGCAATAGTGAAGAAGGGAAGAGGAAGAGAGATTCAAATATGTGAAACAGTGTGTGGAAAGACCCTGCGGCTGGGAATTAGAAAGTCAGGGAAAAAGTGGCCAGTGATGAGAGGACAGACTAGCAGGGAAGGGGTCTTTGGGGCCTGCAATTTGGTTTTCTATGTTCTAAACATGAAGAAAAGACTGGAAGGAGGGGAGAACTGAAGAGAATGGCATGATTAGGTATGGGCTGGGTCAGAGATGGAGAAGCACACACACACACACAGATTTGAGGAAAATACAGGCAGTAACACCAGTAGGCTTTGGTGATGAGTGGGGTTCGGAGGTGAGGGACAGGAGGGGCTCTGATTTCAGATGGTGCCTGTTCCTGAGCCAGGTATGTGCTGTAGGTTTGGAGCAGGGAGAATATGGACAGGGTTTGAGTTGTCAGGGCAGAGTTGAGAGGGCAGTCATGACACTACAGTGACACTACATGACACTACAGTGTCACTGCTGTCTTTTCTCTTGCTTAAACAGGAATGTCAGGACAAGTGGTGTTAAAGGTCTATCTGGACCAAGTTCTGGCGTTGTTACTGAGGATGGAAAAGAGGCAGGCTTTCTCCCCGGCCCGGAGGACCTGACAGTTTGGTAGGTAGAGGAAGATGCACTGTCTCCACTCGCTGTGCTGGAGTGGAGAGGCTGTGGGAGGAGAGGCGGACAGGCTGGAGCAGGGAGCCCGGAGCCCAGGTGCGCTACCCTTGGTCGCCTGCGGCCACCTGCAGCCCGAGTGGAACTCTTCAGCCTCCCCAGAGGCTTGTCGCCATGCTCTCTGTTCCTGGAGCACCCTTGTGCTCATTTCCATCCGGATATATCATCCTACCCATCTTCAAAATCTGTCCGGACACCATAATCTTCAAGAAGCCTTCCTCCACCCTCCCAGTTGCAGCCGATCTTCCCACTGCACCCCAAAGCATGCTGTGGATATTTAGTTAACACACCCGTCACACGTAGCTCTGCGGCAAGGTTACTTGTATCCAAGTCTGGCTCCCCACCTGCTGGAGAGAGCTTCCAGAGCAGAGGTGTGGTTCCTCCATGTCTCCAGGGCTGAGCACAGGGGGGCTCTCACTGCAGTCACAGTGCAGGCCCAGTAAGGGGGCGTTCCTGGGCGGTTCTTGTAAACATGTGGGCATGCTCAGTGTCGCCCATTAGCCGCTAGAACAAATCCCCTCATCCACTCCTCTTCAACCTTCTAATGTTCCCTCTGTAACCTCGCAAATCCTTCTTCTCTCTTTCTTCACTGCTCGCACCCCAGCCTCTGTCTCTGAGCGGCCACTGCATCAGGCTTGTTTCAGCAAAGACAGGAACCCATGCTTTGTGCGGCAGCTGTCAGCGACCCCGACGCGGCCCCTTTAAGCGTGACCGAGGAGGGGCGTGGCTTGAGGAGAACAGGCCCCAAAGGGGGCGCGGCTCCTTTAAGAAGCGGCCGGCCGACGGCGAGGAGGCCCGGGACTGGCAGGCGGGGCAGGGGCGCGGTCGCTTTCGCAGCTGCGGCCCCACCCAGAGCGGGGCGCCCCGATTCCTCGAAGCGGGGCGAGTCCGCTTTAATCGGGGTGCGAGATGTGGGGGGGCGGGGGTTACATCAGCCGCCACGTGTGGGCCTCTCAGCTGGTGTGGAGGCGGCGGCCCCGCCCCCGGCCCCTGCGGTGGAAAAGTACCGGGGCGCCGAGGTCCCCGCCCCCTTGCCCCGCCCCCGGACCGGCACCGGCCCCTCCCGACCCTCCGGGCAAGCCCCCCTCCCGTCCGGCCCCGGCCCCGCCGCCTCCTCCAGCCCGGCAGTGGCTGCGGGGTGCGGGGCGCCAACTGGGGGTGGGCACCCCAGGGCTACTAGGCCCCTAGCTTCACCTGCGGCCGCCTAGGCCCGCCCTACACGCTCCGGGGATGAAGGTTGGGTTGGAGAGAGCGCAGATTCTTCCTAGCAGCCCCAAAATAACTCCCCGTCCGCATCCTTTCCCAAAGCCACGGCCAAGGCAGCCTCGGACAAAGAGCCCGAGAACGCCGGGGCTCGCTAGCGCGGCTTCCCGGGACCTGAGTGCGCGCGGGAACCCGCACCCCGCGGGCGGGTGGGCTGGCAGATAGCGAGGCCGGCGGGCTGGCGGGGCCAGATAGGCGGCCAGGCCGGCGGTGCGCGGAGATGGAGCGGGAGCCTGCGCTCGGGGCGCAGACACGGCCCCAGATTCCCGGCTTCCGCAGGCCCCCCGCGCGCAGACCTCCTGGCGCCCCAGTCGGACCGAGACACGCTCTGGTTCCGGAGCTACCCGCACAGCCCAGCGCCCGCCGCCCCCGATCAAGCCGGCGTCTGCACGCAGCTGCCCCCCTCCAAGAAGCGCCCCCCCACACACGCCGTTCCCGCCCGCTTCAGCTCCTTGGTGACAGGGAGACACCCAGACGCGCGCACCTACCCCGACCTCCGCTGCGAGACAGACATTCCCGTGCGTGCACCCACAATGTTGCCCACAGATGCCCACATGCATGCGCGATCTCACACACACACACGCACGCACACACACACGCTGGTTCTAGGGCTCAGCCACCAAACACCCTGACTGACGGCAGGACAGACAGAAGTGGGCCGCAGCGCCCCCTCCCCCAGCCCCCTTACCATGCTGCAGCCCCCAGCCCAGGCGTGCTGGGTCCGCACCGCAGAGTACCCAGGTGGCTTTCTTAAAGGGAAGGTTGCATCAGCCTCCCGTGGCTCTATGCCGCTGCGAGTCTGCCCGCCCCGCCGCGCCGCTCGCGGCTTCTCCCGAGCTTGCTGTGTTTTGGTTTCGGGGAGGCGGGGGCCAAGAGTTTGGTGAAAGTTTGGAGAGTGAAGAAGGCTTGAGAGATCCAGCCAAGTCCCTCCCCTCTCTGAACAGCTCCCCTGGCTGTCCTTCCTCCACCCCGCCCCCCCCACTCTCATCCCCACCCCTCTGGCCGACTTCTCAAGCTCCTCCTCCCAGGGAATAAAATTACAAGTCACTCCAGCTTTCAAAGGATCGATCCCTAGGAAGCTCTGGGAGTGGGCTCCGTAAAGGAGCCCCCGCCTCCACCCCTACTCGCTGCCCGCCCCCGGCTGCGGCCCTTAGAGGAAGCAGACCTTGTTCCCTTTGGGTTAGGCTGGAATGAAGCCAGAAAGCCTGGGGCACTTCGGGGGGCTGGGGCTGAAGTTCGCCTGCCTGGCCCCCGCCTTCTGCGCCTGCGTTCCCCCTAGAGAGAAGTCAAAGCAAATTCCATTCCCTTTGGAGCAGCGCTGCTAGGGACGTTGGGCACAGCTGGGTAAGGCCAAGGGCGGACTCTTTGGAACTGGGGGACAATTATTTCCCCAAGGACCCTTCCTTGACTACTGGTCTGGTCAGCCTGACTCTGGCCCTTGTGTGGCCGGGCCACTCCTTGGGACTCCTTGGGACGCAGACCTGGATTCCACTCCCAGCTAGAAGTTTGCCAAAAGGAGCTTCCTCTTTCTGAGACATGGAGAGGATGAGGCTCAAGTAAGCTGCCTTCAGGCTGCGGCAGCTGGCACTTGGCAGAAGGGGGCTCCCACCTTTGCTTACCTAGTGACAGACACCAGCTTCCAGGGAGAAGGGCCAGTTAGCACTTGCTATGAGAGGAAGTGTGGTTGCCCAGCCTAAGCAAAGCATCTGCTTGGGAAAGGGCCCAGGCTGGAGCAGCCGTCTCCCCTCTGCACCCCAGTCCCTTCCTCACCATCTCTGCCCAGGAAAACCGGTTTTATTTGTTCCTTGGGGGGGATAATCAGCCTCCAAGAAGCTGATACACCCGCAGTACACTCACAATCGATGAGTGCACTCCCACTTCATTAATGTACAGATGGAGACTCTGAGCAAGATAACAGGTATCAGGCACAGGAGCTTCCTGCCCGGGGAGCAGCTCATGTCACACACAGCCCATCCCACAAAGCTTCGCGTAGTCACTAGGAATTTACAGCTGTTTACATGGAACCCTGATCAGACTGGGGAGACCTGCTGGTCTCAGTGAGATTATTTTCATTTTCACTTTGTCTTCACATCTAGCAGTTTAATGTGTTTGGGGTATGTATCCTCCTGTGAACAAATTACAGGTGCTGGGGGTGTGTGTGTGGTGTGCTTCTGCCTGGGCAGTGCACTGTGTCTGACCAGTGCGTGGTGCTTGTGGAAGAGTGTGATATACACAACTTTGGGTACTGGGCAGGTCTGAGTCAAGCTCTCCTTGCTTCTCCCACTAGGATGCAAATTCTGTTTCTGGTCTCTCTCTACCTCTCCCAGGGTTTTCAAAAAGGACACTGCACAGGAAAAGCAGGGTGGAGGCTGTTAGAAGAGCCCCAGCCCCAGGTAGTGGTGGGGGGGACAAGCCGGAGGGTTGGGGAGCTGGGCAGCAGCCTTCTCCCCTTGAAGCAGCACGCTGGGCTTTGGAGGACAGGACTCTGCGTTTCAGTGGGGGTGCTGAGAATCGTTTGGCCCAGGGAAAGTGGGACTTCCCACTTGCTTGTAGATTCAACGCAGGTGGAGGGAGGTAGGTTCCAGATGTGCAGTGAGACTCCCATGAGGCCCCCAAGCCTGGGGTGGGGGTGGGGAGGAGGCAGGGGCTGGAAGAAGAGAGGGGGAGGGGTTGCTCAGGGTTCCTACCAGGAAGAGAGAGTTTGGGAATTAATCTGGGGCTGGGAAAGAACACTCTAGCTCCACAGAGTGGGGGAAAGATTTCCTTGGGGTGTTTGGGGAAGTTGGAGATGTTGCCCATGAGGGATTTGCTAGACAAACAGATGACTTATCACAAAGCATATTTGCATGCATATAGATAGATTTATGAGGGTGTGTATTTTACCCACCTTCACTTCGGAAGGGGCTTCAGGCAGCCAGACACACAGGGAGTTGAGTCCCAAGGAGAAGCTTGTGAGAAAATCTGGACTAGAACAGCTGTTTTTTTCCCTAACCAAAATGAGGTCCCAAGGGAGGCAGGTTTGGGCCTAACCAGGTCAGAACTGGGATGGCCCTGGTCCCTGGCTGTGAGCTCCTGGGCGTGGGCCTGGGCCTAGGCCTGTGGGATAAGAAGGACATGGCCAGCTTGGGCCACAGTGGCGAAAATAGGAGGACCAGGCCTGAGGACCGGCTGAAGGACCGATGGGTCAGGAGCCTTACGGCCTGCCTCTTCCTGGGCCTCCAGGGCCCCACCCACTGTAGGCTGAGGCGTGTCTCAGGAACCTCCAGTGACAGTCCTGTTTCCTGGGAGGACTGCACCCAGCGGCAGAACCCCCAGTGCTGGCTGGCTTCCCTGTCTGTGGTCATCAGCCTGAAGGCTCAAGGCGTCTTGGGACACGCAGAGTGGACTTAGGCTTGTCTTTGGGGAAATAGGGCCAGGCTTGGGTCACTTCTGAGGGTCACTGTAGGAGCTGGCAGCAGGCATGTCAGTGGTGGGGTGCTGAGGTTCCTGGTGAGAAGTTGGGGAAGGGAGGACATTGCTCTGAGTGGTAGCCTGGTCTGACCAGTGGTCTCCACATCTTTGGGGCCCCAGGCTCAGGAGCTGGGAAGCATGATTGGGAGAGCATGCTTTCAGATTCCTCCTCCCTTCAACTTGGAGCCCAGGGGTCAGCGCCTGGCCCCTTCACTGTCCAGTCCCATGCAAGGGGTCAGGTTAGGTTGGTACCAGATCCAAGAGCCATCGCTGGGGTTTCACGGACCCCTGTTGTGCTTTCCCTGGCCCCAGCAGTCCAGAGAGCAGCTTAGACTATCATGAGACTCAGAATGGGGCTCCAGGGGCTCCTGGTGAAATCAGGCACACAAATTGGGTGCACTGACTTTGACCCTGTCCTGAGAGGTGTCCCCGGGCGTCCCCAATACCCAACCTCCTAAGGATCTTAGAGCTTCCAAAATCCAGAATTCTCACTGTGCAGGGTGCCAGGGCTTCCAACACTGTAGAGCACCCAAACTAGAGGCCCCCGTGCCCGACATTCAAGGAGCTCAGGGGAGCCCACATTCCAAACACATGCCTTGATGCTTCCATCCCGAGTCTGGCGTGTCCAGAGGGGCTACAGCTGCCATAGCAAGGGCGCAACCAAAGGTCCCTTTACTCCTGCCTTGTGCGGTCACACCTACTGTGGCTGGGGTCGCACACAGTGTGTAGTGTGATTGTGCGTAGCACAGCTCTGCTCTCCAGGTGGGACGTGTAATGGTGTGCCAGGGTCAGGGTGTGGCCCACGTGGGCCGAGGGCCCTGCTGTTGGCATGCGTGGTGTGAAGCTGTGAGCACAGATGTGTCGGCCAGTTCACGCGTGCGTGGCTGCTCGCCGGTCACCCCTACGACCCGCCCCTGCCTCGCTGCTTTCCCAGGAGGTGGCATGAACGGCTCCACTGCCCCCAGAGCCCAGGCTGGGAGCAGGCCTGTTGGGAGCAGGGGCAAGTTCAGAGCATGCCATCACCCGGGCTGCCCCGCAGTGATTCTGGAGATTCCTCCCACTGCCTCATGCTCCGTGGAGCCGGGAGCCCCTTTGGATTAGAAGACAGGAAGAGGGGTGGCTATAAGTGGAACAGCCAACACCAAAAATAACCATGGCCCCCGGGAGGATCCTGTGACACCACCCCCTCTTCCCAGTGCAGCCCAGCCCAGCCTGCAGACCGGGAGCCAAGGGCGGGCTCGGGTCTGACTCCTTCCCCCCAGTACCCAGCTGGGCAATCCTTTTGGAATGGAGGCGGGACAGAATAATGATGTCACTACAAAGGATGATGTCATAGGAGCTATGACATCACAGGGGTGACGCCAGCTCTGAGTGTGGGTGGTGGACAGTTGCCTAGGTGGGTGAGGCGGGGCCTGCAGCAGGTCCCCACAGGTCCCAGCAGCTGCAAATGGCAGACCTGGATAAGGCTGTGCTGGGGGCCCTGTCTTATCTCTCTCCCCCACATGCCTGATTAGCCTCTCTGCTAGCCCTGACCCGGGAGCTTGCGGGGAGCAGCCTGGCAGAGGGGAAAGGGTTGGCGGGGGCTGGCTGAGTTCCAGGGCTGGCAGCTGGGGGCAGAGCCCCAGGAGGAGGGCGAGGTATCCCTGGGAGAGTGTGGGGTGGTGGTTAGGAACAGGGTTCTCAAGCCAGGCTGTGCGCATTCAGCTCCTGGACCGACTGCTCACTGCTGGGTGGACTGGGGCTGCTGTGTCCTCCATGCGCAGAACATGGGTGTAGTGATGTCAGTCAGAGATGGCTGTGAGGATTTAATGGCTGCAGAGGTGTGGGGTGGGCGCAGAAGTACTTAGCTAGTAAGTGCTCCTCCCCCTTCTGAGTGAGGCCAGGCTTCTCCCTGGGAGACGCTGCTTCGCTGGCCCTCATGCTGGTGACCTGGGCCCCAATGGGGTGTCCAGAGGCTGAGGCAGAGCTGTGTGGCGGCCCCCTCTTCCCACCTGGTACTCACTCACCTCCAGAACCCAGGCTCTTGTCTATCTGGAAACCTTTCCCCCAGCAGTGCCCACAGACAGCTCGGAGCCCTGATGCCCTCTGGTGACAAAAGCCACATGTGGTGGTGACAGCTGGATCTCTAGGGCACATCTGGCCAGACAAGGTGTTATCCCTTGTCTGGTGATTTTATGTCATCCTCACATCAAGTTGACAAAATAAGAATTATCTTCCTTTTTTAGAATTGGTTCTCATCTGCTCTGGCAGATTAAATAATTTGCCTGAGGTTACAGAACTCTAATGGCAGAACTTGAACTTCAAAACCTATGTCCTCACCTCATGCCCATCGGTGCGGGCCATCATGGATGTGTGTTCATGGCCAGGAGGACCAGCAGAGGCTTTCAGGCCACTCTGACAGTTCCAGTGTAACTAAGGTAGGGTA